TTTCAGATAGACGAGTGTGGATGGGAGAGTTGGAAGGGGTCGACCTCAGCGAACGTACCTCAATCAGATTGAGGACGTTTTTAGCAAAGGCCAGCTTAGGAGTACCCTAATTAAGTTAATAACAATGTACCTACCTATATAGTTTAAGTTTAAAAAATTTGGCTCTCAAAAGAAATTTCAATCGTTGTACTGTTGATATTTGGCTCTGTTGACTAATGAGTTTGCCGACCACTGATCTAGAATATTGTGGAATGTTATGTGACCCAGTGTTATCTGACCTATATCCACTTGTACATATATTGATTAAAACCTCAGGTGCTAAATGGAAAAGTTTACTGGATTCACCTGGGAAGGGACTTACAGAATCCTTTCCAAAAAAAGAGAGTACACAAAAGGTTCTCCTGAAAGCCCTCTGTAAAACATTTCCAATAAAAACAGATGAACCACAATGCAGAGAAAAGAGGAATCTACAGGAGACTTTGGGATAGGCTAGGAACCACATTGTGTTCTTGCAGCCAATTCAATGCGAACAATAACCCCCAATTTGGGGTGCAGTGAGGAAGGAAATTTTATTCAGTGCAAAACATCTCAGTTGTTATACAGCAAGCACTGCTGTGAAAAAAGCACAGCTGTGAGGCAGCCCTGGGGTCAAGGCAGTCTTGGGATCAGGCCTCTCTCTGGCTGGACAGCTCTGCTCTGCTCCTGTGGGTCTGGTCTGCCCCGCTCTCAGAACTGTACTCCCAGAGCCAGGTCTGGCTTATATAGACAGAAGTCCCCAGGCCTTGCTCCCTGATTGGTCTGTCCTCATAGTTTGATTAGTCCAAAAGACACTTCCCTAATTGGTCAGAATAGAGCTTCTCTGATTGGTCTGTAACGATGTTGATGGGGGAGGGGGGGTGGGCGGAGAGAGATAGCTGTGCAGCTCTGATTGGATGGGGAAAGCCTCAGTCCTATTGGTTGAAATAGGATTCCAGGACTCCTCTATAAGGGTTGGCTCAGCTGGCAGAAGCACAGTGCAGGCAGGCTGTTCCGTGCTGGCCTCTCTGTGAAGTGCAGCTTGCACGGAAGGCCTCTGTGTAGAAGAGGTGGCTTCTAGGCTCTCTTTGTTATAATTTGAGACCAGTTAGTCACCAGGAGTCCTTCTGAGTAAGTACCTTCTTTCTCAGGGCCCACAATTGCAACAATATTTGGGAGTTTAAAAAGTTGCCCTTTCACCTCATTTTGTTAATGAAGTTAAACCTGAAACTGGAGACCACATTCAAAAACCGAACTTAGAATGGGAAATAGTCCCTTGACTGGAACGACAATACCTGGCAGGCATTTTAAAAGGGTTTTAGAACAAAAACAAGACAGGACACAAAATAAGCTTGTGGCCCTGCAGGTCAGCAGTGAGGTGGCTTGCTCCCCAACAAACCACCTACTGACAAGGACACTTGAGAAAAGAACACTGAAAAAAAGATGGTCTCATCTTATGAGACAAAGAAAAATTCCTTAATTCTGACTTATGAGGGTGCTCCAAGGAAGAAAAGTACCCGATATCCTGCCATACCCTTAAATACTCCAGGTGAATTAACTAGAAATATAGATAGTGTGTTAGTTTCCTTGGGCTGCTGGAACAAACTATCACAAACTGGGTGGCATAAGACTACAGAAATGTGTTTTCTCACGGTTCTTGTGGCTTAAAGTCCAACATCAAGGAGTCAGCAGGGCCACCCTCTCTCCAAAGGCCCTGGGGGGATCCTTCCTCGCCTCTTCTAGCTTCTGGTGGTTGCCAGCAGTCCTGGGTGTTCGTGGCTTGTAGATGCATCACTCCCATCTCGACCCCCATCTTCACATGGTATTCTCCCCTGTGTTATCTTTGTGTCCAGATTTCCCTCTTCTGCTGAGGATACCACCCTAATCCAATATGACCTCATCTTAACTTGATTGCATCTACAAAGACCATGTTTCTAAATAAGGTCAAACTCACAGGTTTTGAGGGCAAGGACTGGAACATATCTTTTGAGGGGACACAGTTCTATCCACTATATATGGCAACCTCACGCATTTCTGGTAGATACAAGTACTACTCTTTCTGCATTAAACCCTGCCATCTTTGCTCAGCCTCCTTTTTGGAGTAAACATAAAAGAGCCACAGGTGGCAGGCATTCCAACTAACCCACAGATATTCTCTATTTCCCTGCCCTTAACTATGAGCCTGGGAGCCCTTGATTGCAAAACATGCCTTCCTGCTCTGTGACACCCTCCTGCAAATTTCATTAGGAGAAACTTTGCAATTTTAAATGAACACCAGAGTATTTGGAACTATTTGTGGGATTCCAAAGGATTCTTCTATTCACAAGCAAGTTGATTCAGCTCTGATTATCTTTGTTTTCTCCATTATATTCTATGCATATCCTGGATAAGTATTGACACTGTACCCGGCACTGATATGGGAGAAGGGGTCAGTGCACCTCATAGTGACTGGTCCAGCGGTTGTTCTGGTCGTTCTGCCATTATGGTCACTGGGCTTTTATTATATAGGATTACTGACTGTACCCCATATGCTGTACTTTACACTCCCCTGACTATCTTGTAACTACAAATTGGTACTTCTTAATCCCTTTACCTTTTTGACCCAGTCCCCCAATCCTCCTCCCATCTGGTAACCATCAGTCTGTTCTCTGTATATATGAGTCCGTTTCTGTTTTGCTTGTTCCTTTATTTTGTTCTTTAGGTTCCACTTAAGTGAAATCACATGGCATTTGTCTCTCCCTGTCTGACATTTCATTTAGCATAATACCCTTTCGGGTCTATCCATGTTGTCACAAATGGTAAGATTTCATTCTTTTTTCTTTTGTTTTGTTAATCCTCACCCGGGATATTTTTTCCACTGATTTTTTTAGAGTGGAAGGGAGGGAGGGGAAAGAGAGAGAGAAACACACACACACAGAGCTCTAGAGAAAAAGAGAGCTCTAGAGAGTTCTAGAGAGAGAAACATCGATGTGTAGGAGACACAGTAATTTGTTGCCTCCCACAAGCACCCAACGGAGGCTGGGAATCAAACCTGCAACTCAGGTCAGAGGAATTGAACCTCTGACTCTTCGGCGAAAGGGCCCATGCTCTAATCACTGAGCAACACCAGCCAAAGCTCATTCTTTTTTTGTGACCGAGTATATCCAGTCGTCTATTGATGGGCACATAGGTGGCTTCCATATTTGGCTACTGTAAATAATGCTTCAGTGAACATAGGGATGCATTAGTGACATTGAGCATCGTTTCATATGTCTATTGGCCATCTGTATGTCTTCTTTGGAGAAATGTCTATTTAGGTCCTCTGCCCATATTTTAATTAGATTGCTTGCTCCTTTTGGTGTTATGAGTTTTTAAAATAAATTTAGCATACTAATGCCTTATTGGATGTACCACTGGTAAATATCTTCTCCCATTTGATAGGGTGTCTTTTAGTTTTGTTGATGGTTTCCTTGGCTGTGCAAAAAGCTTTT